TTTGATAAATTTTGTCAAAATTCCAACTTTAAATGCTTATAAAAAAAAATCGTGCCTATGTATTTTTAAAATTTTTCAACTGATATTGTAACAATATATAAGAAAGCTTGTATTAAATTTTCAGACTTTTTGGCCCACCAAATAAAATTTTATTGACAATTATAAAAAAAAAAAACTAAAAAAATTGAAAACTGAAAATGTCCGTAAACAGCTCAAAAAGAGTCAAAATATTTTCAAAATTGTATGGTGTATAGGAAATGCTAATATAAACATTCAGTGAAATTTTCATGTATCTACAATAATTCGTTTTTGAATTACAACAAAATAAGGAAATCGCTACATGAGAAATCGAGTGAAAATCCAATGTTGTAAAAATTTGAATTTAAAACGCTCATAAAAATTTAATTTGACTTTCCGGTAGAGATTTTTTTATTGATAAAGGTAGATAATCTTATAAGGAATCTTGTGTTTCATTTTCAAATCTTAGATTTAAAAAGAAAAATTTTTACGAATTCTTAACTCAAAATAATTTGCTAATTTTCGTGATTTTTCCATATTTTGTCAATTTTTGAACTTTAAATGCTTATAAAAAAAAATTGTGACTAAGGATTTTTAATATTTTTCATCTGCCTTTGAAGCAATATATTAGGAGCCTTCTATTAAATTTTCAAGCTTTCGCAACCAACAAATAAAATTTTATTGATATTTTTAGAAAAAAAACTAAAAAAAAATGGAAAATGAAAATGTCCCTAAACAGTTCAAAATAAATCAAAATATTTTGAAAATGTTATCGTGTATAGAAAATGCAAATATAAACAACCAGTGAAAATTTCATGTATATACGTTCATTTGTTTCAGAGTTACACCAAAAACCAAAATCGATTTTTTGGAAAACCAATTTTGCGTAAAAATTCCCGTTTTTTCCTTAATTTTTATGTTGTTTTTTCCCGGCGCTTGTGAAAACTACTGGGAAATTTATACTTTTGACCCCCCAAAGTACCAACTAGATTCACTTTCCTATCAGAAAAGCTACTGATGAAGAAAATCCAAGCACTTTTACTGTCCTAAAACGTGATGACAGACACAAAAATAAAAAAAAAAATAAAAAAAAAAATAAAAAAAAAAATAAAAAAACACACATCATTGTAAAATCAATACATTCATCGTTTCACTCAGAATCTAAAATATAAAAACATACATCATTGTAAAACCAATACATTCATCGCTCCGCTCAGAATCTAAAATAACAATATATAAAAACAAAATCCTATCCCCTGTACTAAAAAATAAAATATTATATAATTTAAATTTTTTTATTCTTATAATTCTTTATCTTAAAATTATTTCACTTATAACCTTTTTATTTTCAAATAAATAACCGTCATGACCAAATCTAATAACTACCTATATATTATATATATATATATTATTTAATACTAATTACTAATTGTAAAGTTTTTTTATTATTACATATTATCAATTTTTAAGAACACTAACAAATTAAATATGTATTTTTTAATACTGTTTAATTCTTAATTAGGCTGATTTATGTTGATACGTACAAATTCATTAAATGTTTACAATATAATATTATGTACTTTAATTGTGAGCTTAATTAATCTCCCCGATCTCATATAGTGATAACTGTTGAATACATAACTTAATAATATTTTAAATTTAGTATAATTTAAGGCCTGCCTACTTTACAATCGGACGCAATCAGGAAATAAAAAAAGCGGGAAAAACATGTCGTTTACCTGACTTTGGGACGCAATCGAAATTCGAAGGTCTCTCCATAATAATACGCAACATCAACTTACCTGTATTACTGGTGTACCAAAGTATTTACTGTGAGAATAGATACCACGCTATTCGTATTTAAAGGAGTACAAAACACAAAAAATAAGTGTTTTTTTTTAATTTGAAAGAATGTTTAATTCTTAGTTAAAAAAAGACGCGTTACGTCATTGAGCCGGGCACACTGTAATTGCCTATCGTATACTTGTAAAAGTTGCTTGCTTCACACAATTATTTACTTACCTTTAAAGTATATTTTTGAATTTTTGTTGTACTTATGTGACGTGTTTTTAAATTCTAAAAACGTTGTGTCTAAAGTGTTTAGTTTTTTAAATATATAAAATCTTTTGAAAGACATTTTTATTACGCTTACGCCTTGTAACTGCAGTCAGTAGCCACTTATCGCGACATGAAGTAAATCAAATGTCAAAAATAACACTTTTAGATAGGCAATTCACTGTGTAAATATATCGGCCAAATAATGTCACCCGGCCATTCTAAAGGCCCTTATATCTATCTTCATAAATAAGGTTTTTTTTTACACTGAATTTTGACCAAATCATTTTCAATAGGTCTAACAACAGTTATTTAATATTATCCTTTAATACACGTACGTGTACATATAATATATTGTAAGTATCAGCGCTATAATAGGTTCTGCATTTCAAATACAAAAAAATATCCATGTTTATTGTATATTAGTTACATTATATTAAATTGTATTACAATATAATTTTTTTGTAAGTGATTACCTGGGCTGGAATTTTATAGTATTTTTATATTTTTTATAAAATGCTTAAAAAATATCAGAGTAAGCTTAAAATTTGTTTCATGATTCAGACTTAAGAGAACTGAGATTAAAAATTAAATTTTGCGATTCTTTAGATTTTGGTGCAATTTTTGGACTTGTTCAGATATTTTTGCATTTTGACCAGTTTTTTAATAAAAAATTGTCATATTTTAAAATAACATTTTAATAAACTTAATTTTGATCATTGGCTAATTTTAAAAGTAAATGTAGACCGTCTACTACACGCAAGCAGCGGTGTTCATCATTTCCTGTTAATCATAATATTTGGTTCAAATTTTAATCTCTTGTTATACCTGCTAATTTTAAAGGGCCTTCATTTTTTGCCATTTAGTAATTTTTTCTGCGCTTATCACTGAACGAGTGTTAAAAATTTTGAAAGAGTTGTAAACTGTATACAAATGATGCCAATCGCTATTCACAAGTATTATTGATTATAAATACAAGTATTCAAAGGTGGGCATTAACAAGTTAAAAATTTAAATTTTTTTTAACTTTTTAACTTAACTAGTTTCATTTGCATTTGAAATAACTTAGCTTTTCTCAGTTGATTTTAAAAAAATCCATCAAGTTAAAAACATTTTGAAATTTTTCGTTTATACGTAAATATTACTATATCAGTATAAAATAAAAGTAATCCAATACAAAAACACAAACATTTCTGATCTTTTCCTTGCTAACATAATTTTGTGTGTATTAAATATTAATATATTTTATTAAGTTGTAAATTATATATTATGCGAGTTGCAATTATAAATGTTTTTTATAAAATTAACAATTTTAAATTACAAATTGACAATATTGTTATGTTTTAATGTTATATATAACTTATAATATATGTTATGAAGATCATGTACTCATACTATACGATATAAAAAAATATATTTGTTAAATTATTAATTTGAGATGAGTATAGTTTAAATTAGTAAATAATAGTAAAGTAAAAGTAAAATGGTATACAGTGTCAATTATGATAAAATTTCAATAAAATTGTTTTTTATAATTTATAAATTATAAACCAGAAAGACACATTCACTCTTTATGTGATTTACATACTAATTTAAAAAAAAATAGATTAACTTTTTTTAACTGAGTTAAGTTAATATTTTTTTCTATATTAACTTTTAACTTATCAAGTTAAATTTATAATTTGTTAACTGTTAACTTTTGTATAACTTGAGTTAATTATTTTTATTAACTTGCCCACCTTTGCTAGTATTAATAATAATACAGTCGACTCGTACTATAGTACATATACTATACTCTGTTCAAAATGAGATGATGACTCGGCGGCCAAGTTGTGCGCATGGGCGTGGCTTTGTTCCATTGCAGCGCCCGACGCGTCGCCGTAGTGGGGACAGCGTCTGACCATATGTCTGACCGCCGCCCGACGAAAACTGGTCGCCGCCGAGTCATCATCTCATTTTGAACAGAGTATAGCTACTATACCACTACCTAACTTTTTTTTTGTAGTTATGTTTTCTGTTATACCTACATTCAATAATTTCATTAAATTGTACCCAACTTTGTTTTAAAACGCCAATTTTTGCATACCTATATGGGTGTGTTTGATTTTTTTATTGCATATTTTTAACACGAACGTGTTCAATATCGAAATCGGAAATCACAATTCGCAGATTGTTAACGTAATAAATATAAAATAAATCAAACCACCTAAAAAAAAAAAATATTCAACACCAATTATTATAAGTTATTGATAGTAAAATTATTAAAATACTTATACCTACTCAACTAGGTAGGTACTTGACAATCTGATGAGCACGTGTGTGTGTGTGTGTGTGTGTGTGTGTGTGTGGTTGAGTGATTGTCATATTACTGTGTGTATACCTCAACAGTCAACACTTATTATTTATTATTAGTAGTAGTACTATAGTAGTATCCAGTAGTGGTAGTAGTATAGTAGTAGTAGTACTGTCATAGTAGTAGTATATTATCATATATTATACGTAATCGAACGGAGAGGAAAAAAATATTAATAGCTACTACTGTATAATAGGTACCTAGTGATATTATGATAAATAAGAGACGTTGCGCAATAATTTTCAAGAGACGAGTTAGTAGTGATCGAGTGCACTCTTCGATTGTGCGATCAGTTATACGTGTTGTGTTGGTGTTTCACGTAGACTGTATAACATAGCTACGTCTAAAATATTGTTTTATACTTATCTAATAAATTCATTCCTATTAAGAGTTACTCTTTTCATTCCACTCGCAGTCTTTTGGAAACACCCGAGTGACCGTTTTTCGTAGTGCCTATACACACGAAACTAAGATACCTATACGCTAACCTACTTTTTATAATAAATTATATCGCAGCAGCGGTCACGCTGTTATCTGTACGCGTTTTCGTTCATTTTCTCCGATTTTGTGATTTATGGCATTTACAGCCAAGTCGCGCGCGTACAAGCACAAGGTGCTATTGGAAAGTTCGTCCGACGACGTAGACTTTTCGGTGAGTATTTCGTCCGCCAAAAGGACCTTCACAGTTGTACCTCTATGAGGCATATTATTACAATACAGCTGCTGTACAATTATCAATACAATATTATAATATTGTGTATTTACATTTACGACTCGTGGCCAGACGAAAATTGTGATTTTATTATTTTAGTATAAGTATAATTATGTTATTATTAAGCGCATAACTGCATAATTGTGTGTGTGTGTGTGTGTGTGTGTGTGTGTGTGTGCGTATGTGCATAATATATTATATAATATTAATTTAGTTGTGTCCGACCGTTTTCGTTAGTTAATTATAATTTCTATACCGAGTAAAACGTGTCCCCTCGCCCTTTATTCTATTTGCTCGTAACATTTTTTTACGGTGTCCGTTACGATATATATATTATAGGTATTATGTTATGTGCATGGTCTACCTATATTGATTGAAACCTTATATTACAGCTGTAGCTTATGACCCGTAATACCACAAATGGTTATAATCTTAAGCCAAAGTTCCGAAAGTTTCATATTAATATTGTTTTGCCATCAGTGACGACACGTACCAACTTCCAATGTTCAAAAACATTATACTCTTGTAAATGTACATGTTCATAAAATTTATAATTTAATCTTTAAATCATATTATTATAATTTATATTATATTTGAAATTTGAAACATGAAGTTGTTAATATTATATATAATTAATTTAAATAAATTATGGTTCATTTACCTCTAGACAAGAATAAAAATTAAAAACTAATATTTAGAAGAAATATTTACGTCACAAACGCTTGCACCTTATCTTGAAAACAAATTTGATTATAACTTATAATTATTATTTATTACTTAATTATATTACATATTATAATTTATAGTAATAAATTATAGTTCATATAATATTACTTAATATATAATATTTAAATATTGTAATCATGTTTTTGATTATTTTAACGCACATAATATAAATTCATCGAAAATTCGATCCAAAAATTGAACCATTAAATATGTACCTAAACATTTTTTTGGGTTCTGGTTATAAGAATAATAGTACATAATTGCGTAATAATATTTTATATTTACCTATTAAAAGTAAGTTTGTATTTATAAATACAAAGTGATATAACAATTTATATGTTTAGATCGTTGTGGACACATATGATTAATTATATAATATAAATTAAATGTCAATATTGTTTTTTCCACGAATATCGCTGATGGATAGGTAGACTATATCGTATAAACAAATCGAAAGTATACGCACTAGTGCATTTATTAAATTATCGAAGGCGTGGGGAAAAAAGATCGATATGTTTTACGAGATGTAATAATAGACGTAGCAGGAAAACTCATTCCTTAAGTGGCAAACCTATATAAAAAATTTAAAACAACATTTAATATTAAAAACAAGAAAACACATGTGAATTCAAACCCTGGTTTTCCATATATTATTATTATATATTACATAATATGATTGCATTTACTGGGCGTGGAGATGTATAGACTAGGTACCCATTTTACTTGCAAAATTCAAGCAATTTATATCCATAGAATGTAAATATTTTATATTTCTGACATTTGTTAATAATATTTCCTAATGCCTATTCTTTCATAAATTTATAAATTAATAATTTATGTGTTTTATATGTAGATACATTGAAGAATCACAATCTCATTAGAATGCTTTTAAAATAATAGAATACTTGCTGCCAACTGCAGACAAATATTATTATTATAATGTTATTACTGACTACCTAGTACCTACCTATATGTATAAGTATTTAAGTATATTAGAATATTATAAATAGATAAACTTAATTTTTTCTTATATTATAAAACAAAATAGCTTTAATAACAAATATATGATTCATGATGTCGAATCTATTTGCGGAACAAGCATTTTGCACATATTTTATTTATTATTTCGTTTATATAGGTAAGAGTGTAAGACATTTTTTGGAGATTCTCTGGAAGCTTCAGGCTCTATTTTTTATATTTAATCCTCGGCAACTATAATATAATATGTCTGCACGTGTTACATGGCAACATGAGTACAGTTAAAGTTCATTTGTTTTTTAGACTTTATCAGGGATAGCTGATACATTATAATATATAAAGGACATAGATATATAATATATTCGAGATTACACATTAGTGAGAAGTGCCTCATGCCCTCATGGCTCATTTTTATAATTATGAACTAATTATTTCTATAATTTATTTATTGCTGAAAAAGAGTATCGTTATTTTGAAACTCTTTTGGTGTTGTATAATATAATATAGCTTCTTTATATTATATTTTATAACTTATTTAGGTCATCAAGTTCGCGATCCGAGAAATAGGTAGATAGGCAGGTAGCCTACGTCCAATACCAAAAGTAGACTACATATAACTACGTTAATAATCGCTAGATAACAATGACATTATTATGATTAATGCAAATCTAATTAGGTAGATATATAGGTAAGTGCAACGAGTGATTAAAAACTGTGTGTCTTTCACCATCATAAATCATTGGGTATCGACGGTATCGCAATGGTTTTGAATTCTAATCCGTATAATCTATAAAATGCTAAAATGTTAAATAGCAATAGTTTATCAATTTATCATAGTATACAAATACTGAAATATTTAACTGCGTTTTAAATAATGATAATAATACCCATAATAATGCATAATGTTTAATCTAAAGGCACAATCATAATATTCATAATTCGAATTCAAAGCTATGATGGTACCTGCTGCTATCAACAAAAATTATTTTATAAGCTTTAACGACTTTTACAGTTTTATCATATGTAAAATATTCGCAAAACCACTGCCCATCATCGTGTACCTACCTATATTTTGATAATGTCGTTGATTGTTTCATTTCAAGGTCGTAAAATATGAATAGTATCACAGAACATAATATATAATATTATGATATTATGTGTATCAACGTCATACAAATCTACCTTTCTACCTATACTAGAATTGTAACAAATCTCGTTTGCAATGCATACCGTCGGTATTACGTATACTACGGAAATAAAGATGAAAACATAATAATTATTAATATTATCATTTATCATAGTACGCTGTTCAAAAATAAAATATTCAACCTTATAATATACAGGATGATTTACTAATTACCAAACATGGTCAGCCCCATTTTTTCCTTTAGTAATTTATTAAAATCCTGATATTGGAATTTTTATATAAGTTAAGTAGGTTAAATACTTACTTAATTTCATATTTTAAAATTCTTGAGATTTTTCTTGTATGAGTGTCCTATAGCGATATAAACTTAAGTTTTTCAAATGAGAATCTCTTTTTTTACTGTAAATTATTTAGAAGATAATTTTTTGAAAATTTTGATGTACCACCTATACTACCTTATTCAAAAGCTTCTCAGTTATTAATATGTTTATACAGAATTATACTAAAGATAATAGTTCTTAAAAATGGTTTTACAAAAATATAAATAAGAATTTAATATTGAATCTATTATATTATATTATTATTATACTTGATACATTTTTACAAATTATAAATATTGATAGATTATAATAAATTATTACAATTTTTAAATAAACGTGGCCCCTAATCCCTATATCTTCAAAACAAATTATTATGGACCTATACCTTAGTATAGTCGTATAGTACAAAGTTAATAACTCAAAAACTATTTGTTCCAATTTTGATACGTCAATAATATTTACAGAAAAATGATCCTCTAAATAATTTCAGTTGAAAAGGGGGGGGGGGAGGGTTCTCATTTAAAAAACAGAAGTATGTCACTGGACAGGCCTTAAGTAGGTACTACGAAATATAATCTCAAGAATTTGAAAATATTGTTTTAGAATATTATTTAGAAATTTTAACAATTACAAAAATCAGATTTTGAACAACTGCGTAATTGAATAAAAAAAGGGGGTGAGCATGTTTGGTGCATCACCCTTTATAGTAGATAATAGTGTGTTAATTTATGTTCCATTTTTAACGAATATAATTATTTTATTATGTTCTAACGCACAGTCGAGAAATTCGTCATTGGCACCTACAGAATACCTGTTCAAGATTTTGGTGATCGGCGAACTTGGCACTGGTAAAACTTCCATAATCAAACGTTACGTGCACAAATTCTTCTCTCAACACTACCGTGCGACGATCGGTGTAGATTTTGCGTTGAAATCGCTAGAATGGGATTCCAACACCGTCATCCGGCTACAACTATGGGACATAGCCGGTGAGCATAATATCTATATTTCATAAAATAATTGTAGAATAAATTATTATTGTGTTGGGTAACCGAAAGACATAGTGTATTTCCGATAAGGTTAATAAAGTAAAACGTTAAAATCGCGATACGGATGCCCCTAAGTAGGTATATAATAATTATATATCTATTTGTTGTGTATTTAACAAAATGTACCTCAACGTTTAACTTAAACCACTACCCCTTTTTACGTACCTCGTGCAACCAGCAATTACTTAATTAAACGAGCCACTAAGACGATTAATTGCAGATAAACGCCATTGTATGTACATTTTGGATACATTGATACATTTTTGTTCTCTTATTCTTTTAATTATCATTAAAATCGTTTAAATAATGATACCTAATTTTATTGATCGTTTACAACACTTTTAGTTTACTTCGCACTGCATTATTTGTTACAGCAGGTTGCTATTATTAATTTATAACTATCCATGTTCGTATTTAAAACAATGTAATTATAAATTCTACATACCTAAAAAAAAAGGCTGAGCCTGTAAAAATAAATATATTTTGGGAGGACAACAATGAAGTCTGTAAGCTACCTGCGGTGGTGAGAATTTCAAATCATTATTTTGGTGAAAATTGAAAACTCCCCAGCTGTATTATCTATTTATATATATACAGTATACATTCCTATGTGCTTAATACTTTCTTGTATTATAATAAAACTGTAATACACTTATGCACAACTGTCAGCCTCACCCCTAGCGGGTGGTGAATTCGTTGTTATTTTCTTAGAGGAAAAAATTCTTAAATGTTACAATAAAATATCAATATTTTGATGTTTTTATCTTCAACCAACTATTTATTTGGAAAATTAATTTTTCACGATCAGTTAAGCTAACTTGGCAGTTGTAAGTGTAACTACCTATATAAATACATATACCTATTATAATTTATAAGCAATACTTTTTTATTTTTATAAATAATTAATGTAATGATGATATGTTGATGTGATGATTTTTTTTTTGATTTACTGTATAGTATTACAAAGCTATTTTATTAATAAGGTAAATATTAGTTTATTTTTATGTTTTCCTTTTCATATATTTTTAGATTTTTTTTCTCAAGCCGACAATAAATATTTAATTTGGTCGTGATATTTTGAAAATTTTAGTTATAACTATATTAATTTGATAACGTTGGAGATTATTTAGTACGAAATCGAATCGTTCTTTAAGTTATTCTTTTTTAATTAGATAAATATGTACAATCTGAAACCGTTTTCTTAAAAAAGGAAAATCATACAAAATTGGGTTTTCTACCTTTTAAAATGTATTTTCCAATAATTTAAAAGCCAATACCTATAGGTGAGGTCGATTGCCCCAATCGTCAACAATTTTATTTTGTTATAATTTATCACGTGTTTTATGTACTTGTTATTACAGGTCAGGAAAGATTCGGGAACATGACTCGGGTGTATTACAAAGACGCACTAGGAGCGTTCGTAGTTTTCGACGTCACTCGACCAGCCACTTTTGAAGCAGTGGCCAAGTGGAAACAAGACTTGGATGCAAAGGTCTCGTTAGAAGACGGATCGCCGATACCGTGTGTCTTACTCGCAAATAAAGTAAATATATACAATAAGTCATTGGACAAAAATAATATAAGCGGCTAACTTTTTAAAAGACACTAGAAATGGAGGAATGTGGTAATAGTAGGTATAAAATATGTATAACATTCAAATATTAAATTTAGATATCTACTTCAACGTTTCAATATGTATGATAGAAAAAATGCTTCATTTTCAACTTCAATATCTTTTCTGATAGCCGATAGGTATGTCTTGTGTGGTAGGAGAGGGGGAGTCTAAGTAAAAATTGGAAAAAACGTGTTTTTACGTTAAATCTGCAGTTTTTGAGAAAATTGTTTTCGATTATTTTGTAGTAGTTTAAAAACCAATATTTTGACTCTTTTTAATCTATTTATGTTGACATTTTAAATTATTGATTTTTGAAGTTTATTTTCCATAAATGTCGATATAAAAATATTCACTCTGTCAAAAAATTCGACAATTTAATATAAGGTTTCTCATAAATTTGTATTACTGGAATTAAAAAAATTGAGCGTCATTACACAAATACTTTTATGATAGCCTGAAATTTAAATCTTGACTACTGGATATTCACACGTAAAATAACGATTTCTCAACAATCGATTTTAGTTTTTTTGTCGTAATAAAAATTTATTAAGCGTAGAAACTTGAAATATTCGACTACTCCTTACTTAAATTTCTCTACAATAACCAACATTTGTTGACTCAATATAAGTATTACTCAATACTACATCGGATCACGGGCATTGTGCCAAAATTCGATTGTATGCATGCTTGATCTGCCCGATTAACCAATAGAAACCAATATGCAAATAAAATACTAATTTCTACTAAGTAATTATTATTTCCTCTATAACCAATAGCAACAATTTATAAACGAAAATGTCCATCATGAATCTCAAAATCCCTGTTTGATCACCTCCCCTGGTTGGACTTATCGGGTCGAAATTGTGAATCATCCAAGGAACCACTCAAACACACACAAAAAATGTCATCAAAATCGGTTCAACCGTCTAGAAATGCATAAAGTACCTACATATACAAACATTAATTTATATAGATATTATTGTTATTATTTCACCCAATTAATTTCTCCAAAACAAATTATACATTAAAACCTTCCCCTTGACTCAACCGATTTATTGGTGAAAACCGTATTAAAACCCGTCGAGTACTTTTCGAGATATGTACGTACACACTACAAAAAAGGAACATTATTGAAGTTTTAATGGTGGTTTTTGAGTATATTCGTTACAAACATTTCAAATAATCTTTCCACTTTATAATAGCAATATATTTAATTTAATATTAGGATATTAGTATTAGGTAGTATACTATAGTATAGACTATAGACTGATATAATATAAAATATACTTGGCTAGCAGTGTAGGCTCGTTTTTCGTACCTATGCAATTGTTTATCATTGAATTCAAATTCAACAAATACATATTAGTGACTTACCTACCTACTATAAAAAAAAAAATAGTTACTTAATGACGAGGTACACTTGATATCTATTGTACAGCAGAGCAGTTGCCCACTTCCCCCCTTTTCTTTTTTACATTTATTATACTAATATAAATGTGTAAGTAACACATGTTTTACTGTTATATTTTTATTTCTTTTAATTTGTTATCGTCGTAGATAAGCTTCGGGTGTTATGACCTATGGGTTTATGTGTCTAGTTATAGGTACACTTAATGTTTTACCTAAACACTTAGGTATGTTGCCATGTTAGTTACATACAAAATTGATTAATATTTAATGATTCACTAAAATGTAATGGAACAATAATGGTCTACAAAATAATGTTTTAAGGACCATTAGGCATTAGCACTGATTCATTTTAAACGTTTAGTCATTGTTTGTAAAACCCGACTTTAACACGCCATTAGCGTTTTTTATTTAGGTACCCCGTATGCGTAATGTCTATTGCCTTAAAAAGTTGTGTAAGTTGGAAGAACATTAAAACTTTAATTGAATTGTCATAATATTATATTCAATATTCATATAAATACATCATAATATTTTTGTGATTATTAATTTTTTGATTTTGATTTTCCCATAAGAATAATAATTTATTCAATCGAAGGAGTAGGTAGATAATTACTTATCTTAAAATATATTGGGTTCGCATTATTCCAATATCAAAACCTCATTACTCATTAGTATATTGTAGTAGGTACCTACTATTATAGTCTATAGCAGGGGTCTCAAACTATGGCCCGCGGGCCGGATACGGCCCTCGAACAAGTTTTAACCGGCCCGTGGCCCGCATAGGAAGCATAGGTAAATATAGATAAAAAAAATTATTTCAAAAATGTATTTATATTATATTATATTTATACCTATTTATTTTTTTTTAGTATATTGTAAAGTAAACAATATTCTATACAAAAATATAAAGTAAACATATTATTTATATAGGTACCTATATTATCATAAAGTTAAAAATAATATGTGTTAATAAACTTTTGGCCCGCTAAGAGCATTTGATTTTTTTTGTGGCCCTTGAATAAAAAAGTTTGGAGACCCCTGGTCTATAGGTAGGATTTAGGAATATAAAGTATCAAACATGAACCTACCTAATGATACAATTTTACTTGAAATAGAATTATTGATGTATCCCTAGGTAGGTATAGGTACCTACCCATAAAGCTATACAGTATAATACTATATGAAGTATCAAAAAGTGCTAACGAAATATTCACAATAAATTCAACAGAACGTTTTTCTATAAGACGTTTTTTTACACCTATTTAATATTTATGTTTTTTTTTAAAAAATGTTTCGTTGTATTGCAGTGTGATGAGACTAAAGAAGGTATGGTGAATAGTATTGCCAAAATGGACGAATTTTGCAAAGAAAATATGTTCACCGCTTGGTACGAGACGTCAGCCAAAGAAAACGTTCACATCGACGATGCGGCAAAGACACTCGTGACTCAGGTAACCTATTAATATTAAATTTATGTATAAATTCTAGTATTTGTAAATTCTAATATGCATAGTGCATAAATAGATAGGTATTAATTTATTGTTACGTTTACACATCACTGTGGCTTTACTGCCTATTACAATATATTATATAATTACCTATATAGTATTATATAAATCCATATATTTTGTTACCCACATAAAAACATACTGGTTATTAATTATAATTAATGCACTCATAACAACTGTTTGTGTGATTAAAGTAAATAAAGTATTAATATTATAATTACATAACTTTGTAGCGAACAAAATTTTAAAAAAAAAATATTTTTTTTTTGTGTATGATCATCTAGATCTACCTACCTAACTACTTGGTTTGTTAATTATCCTAATGACATTTTTTTCTTTTTGAGACATCGTAGAATATTTATACAACCACCCCTGGGACGTGACAAAATACTAACTCTAGTATAGGTACCTATAACAAAAATAATGCAATTTAAAATAAACTATGCCTAAAGACTATTACTTAAGCAGTTTTCTGAATTATTAAAGTTATTAAACTTAATCTAGTGGTCAATAGACGATACTCCATCAATATTCAGGGTCAAATAATATAGGTAGGTACCTACCTAATAAGGCCGCCCGCAGGGGGAGGCAATGGGGCCAATACCATATTTGAAATGACTATAATTTCTGAAATAATAGTTTCCGGAAAATGAAGTTTTACAGCATCGTTTTAAGAGTTAAAAAAGGTGCTCTGCTGTACAGTAGATGACAAGTGGGTCACTGTATAATGGATGGTATTAAATTTGAATTCAATGATATAATATCATTGTATAAGAAAAACGATTCTGAGCGGAGACGGTATGTCACTCTAGAATCTAGATATAAGACATATTATATACCTACTTATCTATGGTATTAAAAAAAAATTGACCTATAATAGGTACCTAACCTATAATAAATTCCAAATTAATCATATCACAATATCCATTAGGTACCTACTTATAACGCGTTATACATCAACAACAAACCGTGATACCATCATAGATAAATAATAGTGTACTTTAGAAGTTTTAAGTACCCACGAATAATTTTATACAATCACAACAAAATAACTAGGTAAAATAGTTATTTTAGGTTTTTTTATTATGTAATTTCGTCCAAATTTGAACTTAAAATGACTATAAAAATGAACTATGTTTATGTATTTTTTAGATTTTTTGGTAACAGAATTAACTACTTACGTGGAATCTTGTTTTAAATTTTCAATCCTTAGACATACAATTTGAACATTTTATAAATTTTGAACTACAAAATAATTATTCAATTTTAAATTTGATAAATTATGTCATAATTCAATCTTAAAATGCTTATAAAAAAAATTGTGCCTACGTATTTTTAATATTTTTCAACTGATATTGTAACAATATATTAGGAGAATTGTATTAAATTTTTACACTTTTTGGCCCAACAGATAAAACTTTATTGATATTTATAGAAAAAAAAAACACCAAAAAAATTGAAAACTGAAAATGTCCGTAAACATCTCAAAAAGAGTCAAAATATTTTCAAAATTGTATGGTTTATAGGAAATGCTAATATAAACATTCAGTGAAATTTTCAAGTATCTTCAGTCATTCGTTTTTTAATTACAACAAAATAAGAAAATCGTTACATGAGAAATCGAGTGAATATCAAATGTTGTAAAAATATAAATTTCAAATGCTCATAAAAATGTAATTTGAGTTTCTTGTAGACTTTTTTTTTTTGATAAAGGTAGACAAACGTATGAGGAATCTTGTATTACATTTTCAAATCTTAGATTTAAAAAGAAAATTTTTTATGAATTTCTAACTCGATATAATTTTCAAATTTTCGTCATTTTTACGTATTTTGTCAATATTTGAACTTAAAATACTTACAAAAAAAAAAATTGTGACTAAGGATTTTAATTTTTTTCATCTGTATTTGAAACAAATTACTAGAAGCCTTCTATTCAATTTTCAAGCTTTTTTAACCAACAAATAAAATTGTATTGATGTTTTTAGAAAAAAAACTAAAAAAAAAAAGAAAATGAAAATGTTCCTAAACAGTTCAAAACAAATCATAATATTTCGAAAATTTTAAAGTGTATAGAAAATGCAAATATAATATGAATATACATTCATTTTTTTTAGAGTTACACCAATAACCAAAATCGATTTTTCTCGAAAACAGATTTTGCTTAAAAATTCCCGCTTAAATTTCCTTAATTTTTCTTACCAACTAGATTCACTTTCCTATTAGAAAAGCTACTGTTGAAGAAAATTCAAGTACTTTTACTGTCCTAAAATGTGATGACAGACACAAAAAAAAAAAATAAAAATAAAAAAAAAACACACATCATTGTAAAATCAATACATTCATCTTTTCACTCAGAATCTAAAACAAGTAGGTAGTTGAAAAAATTGAAAACCGTGAGGAGAAAAGTGCATTTTTATTCCAAAATTTATAAATGTTTTATAACTTTTTTTTATATAACATGCCTATACTATGTACCACTTTTATAATTATTTTGAAAAAGTATTAATACCTAATACCTATAACCCATATTTTATTGACAGTAAATATGACAATAATATGTCAATGCAGTGTAGGTAATAGGTATAGTCTAAACAGTTAACCTTGACTATCCTGTCCATATTATTAATTATTATGTAAATACATTTTCTATTAGGTTCTAATGTCTTATATTTGATAATACATTTTTAAAACCATATTATATTTATTTCAGATTTTGAAGTACACAGCTCAATATAAACCTACATACTTAAAATCAAAGGGTCAAATAATATTAAACAACACCCCTAACGAAACACAGAAAGGTTGCTCCTGTTGATTAAAATGCAATCAGTTTTATATTCGTTTATATTATTACAGTACAAATTGTTTTTTCTCAATATTTTGTGTCAATTATTATTAATATTAGTGCCTCAATAATATTTTAAACTCTAGGCACCTATTTCAATATTATTTTGTAAGTAGAAAGCAAATTAAATACTATAGGCATTATACAATAGTTAGAGCAAAATGTAATAACTGATTAAGCCAACATTTTGTTTCAAGCTAATAAAAACTCTACATCACAATACTATAAATGTTACATAAATGTTTGCATAATACAATTTAGACCTAATATTTTTTGATGTGATATTAGGACATGTGTGTACCTACGTGTACTGCATACTTATACTTACTACTTGTATTGTAAATACCTATGGTAAAATCAAAGCAGATTTTTATTTCTTAGCTCTATTGTTTTTATTCAATAAGTAATATAAGTGCCTTATTTAACCAAATTTATCATCTAAAATGTATAAGTTTTGAGTATATTTTATGTTTATTATTAAATACTTTTATTACCTAGGTACCTAAGTATAAAAAATATTTTATTTTTCATAAATATATAAATTAGGTAAGTATAAACTGTTGGATAACTAATTAAATATTATTCTATATTGTTGGCATGTGGAAATAATTCTAAATATAGTCTTTGTCTTAAACAATATATTGCGTTTTGTATGTTAATATGATTATAATAAATTCTTTCAACCTTATTTCCAAATATAATAAAGATAAACAATTTATATGGACTCTAGAATATTGCGGCATAAGGAGGGTGACAAGGAGTGCAACAAGAAATGCAATAAACAACCCTAACAGTGAAATACATTCCTTTTCATCACATATAAGTTGTATGTATTAATATATAATATTATATATTAGCAGCAGACACTATCTAATAAGAAATGTATCAGTTACCCCATATATGATAATCAATTATAATTTTTGCATTTGTTTTTATATTCTTAGACAATATATGTATAATAAAATACATTATTTTACTAACAGAAGAAGCAAATGAGAATATTACTTAACTATCAACTGATCACCAAAACAATGTCAATTACGACTGTATCAAAAAAACAGAGAGAAACAATTTTATAAAAACGAACTGTCCGTCAATCGGGTTGCCTATAAGACACAGTGTAACCGTTCAAACATGGTTGTTATAAAATTTTAAAATACAGATAACATAAATAAATTAAATGAATGAAGTTAACAAAGTAAAATTACATGAGATATTATTATTAAAGATATTTTTTTAGAATCACAATGACAATTGAACAACTTTCAAATGTATTATCTTTAAAAATATACTATTTGGAGTTCTAACTTAAGTGGAATATTATTGTTGAGTGTGCAGAGAAATAATATCGTAGAATTGAATAAGACAACAAGAATATTTACATTATATTATATTGAAGATGAAGATAGTAGACGATTACATAGAAATACAAAAATGGGAATATTACTAATCAGTCATTTATTACAAATTACATTTTAGAAAAACAATATTATCATAGGATGAAAAATTACCAAATTAATTATAACAACCTCCTGAAGAGCCAATTTAGTTTTTAAAAAACCAGATTTAATTTTTATCTTAGATGTCTGCAAAAACGCCATTATTCCACAATAATTATTAATTATTATAGATTTTTGATATTTTTTTGATTTGATCAATTATTGAAATCGTTTTCTAAACAGTTATCGGCATACGAGAAGCTATGAATCACCTATGAAAAAAAAAAAAACAATATTAATGTCATATTAACACTTTAAAGTTTAAACATTATATTATATTGTACAAAAGTCAAAAATAATAAATTTATTAACATTATTCTGTTTCTAGTTGGATCATAGATTACAACAAATACTATCTATATGGTAAAAATCTCAATAACATATAATTCAATAAAATATCATAAGATAATAAAAGGTGATAAAAAATACTAATTTTCTTCTTAATTCTCAATATTAACATTATAAATGATAAAATCAAATATTAATTATTATACTTCATTTTTTAATTCAATCATCAAATAAAATACGTTTCTCAAAATTGAATGGAACAAGTTAAGAATAACACTAAGTAAGAGAGCCAAAGCTGAGATTGTCGTATGCCAAGCGGCCTGGTGGTTGCATTTAGTCACGAAACATGTTATGCGTGTACGCACTGGCCGGTGACACTAATAACCCCAGTAGAGTTATTAGTGACAAATTCTTGCTATACATGCGCGTATCCAAACCAACTGCACCCTCCCACATAGTGACATGCTAATGACCTCAGATGTTGAAGCCTTAATTCAAAAATAAATTCAAACCACCTACTAGCAATAATGAGTAATACTTAATAATAACAAAAGAAAAGAAAATACATTAAGTGTATGTATGTATAAGTATTATATTTTATTTACACAAGTTATAAAATAATAACAATAATTAAAATGCCAACAGGTAATATTTCTCCCAAACATAAAAACCCCTGGAAACAGGAAAATTTGCTGAAAGAGTGTGGGACGATTGCAGCTCACTGCACTCACTCGCATTACCATAGATAATAAAAATAATTTATTTAAATTGATTTAATAATTTTCTTGTAAAAATTATATAATATTTGAACTTAAAATTTAAAGAATAACATATTATAATTATAAAATGTTATAATATGTATAAAATATTATAATATTTAATTTTTATACTAAATAAAGTGTACATTGTGTAATAATATTTATGCTACATTGCATAAACAATCACTAAACAGGCCCGTATACAGGGGGGGGGTTAGGGGTTCAAACCCCCCCCGAAATTTTTAAAGTAGGTATATATTTATAATATAGGTAACAAAAACTAACTACATACGTCTTTAAAATATTTTAAACCCCCCCCCCCCCCGAAAATTGATCCTGGATACGTGCTTGTCACTAAATATATTTTAATCAACTAATAGTAAGCTAATGGTACTTCAAACATGATTTAGTGGTCAAAATATTTTAGTAAACAGTTGAAGTAATACATTTTTTTATGCCATTCGTTATTAATATTGAATAATATTTACCAACTACCTACCTAATATTTTATTTCTTATATTGTTTAATAGTATTATTATACATCTAATATCTATTGTTGTATTCATTTTCAAACTTTATTTTGATCTCATTACATTGAAGATTAAACAAAAATCTAAATTAAAGAATTGTAACTAAGAAAAAATCTAAAAAAATTTAATATTGTACAATTAATAAATAATTAAAAAAAGGTGGGCAAGTGGGTGTCGCTCTGCTGTACAGTAGGTTACAAGTGGGTCACTGTATAATGGATGGTATTAAATTTGAATTCAATGATATAATATCATTGTATAAGAAAAACGATTCTGAGCGGTGACGGTATGTCAGTCTATGTATAAGACATATTATATACATATCTATGGTATTAAACAAAAAATTGACCTATAATAGGTACCTATAATAAATTCCAAATTAATCATATCACAATATCCATTAGATACTTATAACACGTTATACATCAACAAAAACCGTGATACTATCATAGATATATAATAGTACACTTTAGAAGTTTCAAGTACCCACGAATAATATTATTCAATCACAACAAAATAACTAAAATAGTTATTCTAGGATTTTTAATATGTAATTTCGTCCAAATTTGAATTTAAAATGTCTGTAAAAATAAGTGTGTTTATATATTTTTTAGATTTTTTGGTTACAGTATGAATTATTTAAGAGAATCTTTGTTTTAAATTTTCAACTCTTAGTTATAAAAACTGAACATTTTATAATTTTTTAATTCCAACGATTGATAATTTTCGAGATTTTGATAAATTTTGTCAAAATTCCAACTTTAAATGCTTATAAAAAAAATCGTGCCTATGTATTTTTAATATTTTTCAACTGATATTGTAACAATATATCAGGAGCCTTGTATTAAATTTTTACACTTTTTGGCCCAACAGATAAAACTTTATTGATATTTATAGAAAAAAAAACTAAAAAAAATTGAAAGCTGTAAATGTCCATAAACAGCTCAAAAAGAGTCAAAATATTTTCAAAATTGTATGGTGTATAGGAAATGCTAATATAAACATTCAGTGAAATTTTCATGTATCTACAGTTATTCGTTTTTGAATTACAACAAAATAAGGAAATCGCTACATGAGAAATCGAGTGAAAATCCAATGTTGTAAAAATTTGAATTTCAAACGCTCATAAAAATTTAATTTGACTGTCCGGTAGAGATTTTTTTATTGATAAAGGTAGATAATCTTATAAGGAATCTTGTGTTTCATTTTCAAATCTTAGATTTAAAAAGAAAAATTTTTACGAATTCTTAACTCAAAATAATTTGCTAATTTTCGTGATTTTTCCATATTTTGTCAATTTTTGAACTTTAAATGCTTATAAAAAAAAATTGTGACTAAGGATTTTTAATATTTTCATCTGCCTTTGAAACAACATATTAGGAGCCTTCTATTAAATTTTCAAGCTTTCGCAACCAACAAATAAAATTTTATTGATATTTCTAGAAAAAAAACTAAAAAAAATGGAAAATGAAAATGTCCCTAAACAGTTCAAAATAAATCAAAATATTTTGAAAATGTTATCGTGTATAGAAAATGCAAATATAAACAACCAGTGAAAATTTCATGTATCTACGGTCATTTGTTTTAAAGCTACACCAATAACCAAATTCGATTTTTTGGAAAATCGATTTTGCGTAAAAATTCCCGTTTTTCCTTAATTTTTATGTTGTTTTTCCCGGCGCTTGTGAAAACTACTGGAAAATGTTTATCTTTGACCCCCCAAAGTACCAACTAGATTCACTTTCCTATCAGAAAAGGTACTATTAAAGAAAATCGAAGCACTTTTACTGTCCCAAAACGTGATGACAGACACAAAAATATAAATAAAAATATAAATAAAAATATAAATAAAAATATAAATAAAAATATAAAAAGGTGGGCAAGTGGGTGTCGCT